TTATGTTCAGTTACCTTATCGTATCCAAGAAACCCTGAGTCCTTTGAATACTTTGCTTGCTGGCTGTCCCCTATTTCTCCATCTGTGTGGGCATCTGTTCTGCTTGGTTTGTGCTCCTTTCCAGGGATCTGAAAACTCATTTCCCATCTGACTCACTGTCTCTGAACTGGCCTGTCCACCCACTTGCTTAAGCACTGAGTCCTAAGAATCACTTAGCTCAGGGGAGAGCAGGTTTGTAATGGTCGTGACTTCTGCTGCTATTTCTGATTATTCTTGACCTGTGGCTCATGCAAACGTGAATCCACATTAGTTCTATTATTTAACAAGTAAAAAAATATTTTAAAAATATTATCAAAGTGATATATATTTTTGGTAGTTTCAGCAAAAGGGGGCCCTTCCATATTTATTGTTAGATTGATATAATTTTATAATCACATTCAAATAATCCAAAATAAATCATAAATTCAAACCTTGATTTTGATAGAGTATGCTCAAAGATAAAATCTGAAAAATAAAATTAACTAGAGACATTTTTAAAATTAAGAATGTTTGGCCTCAGATGTTGAGGTGAGTTGTTAATCTTTAACCTCTTGGGAAATAAAGAAAATGCAGGCTTTTGAAAAATGGAACATATACTAAAAATATCTTCAATTAATTTTAGCTTTTTTTCACCCAGGGAAATAGCAATTTAAAACTATGCTCATTTAATCATAGGTGACAAATATAGAGACCTATTCTTTTTTATATTTCTCTACCTTTTATTTTTTGGTGTTTTTGTTTTCTTTTCCAGATTTTGATTTTGGAGTATGTCATCTTCATGAAATAAATTTTTACACCCTCTCTTCTACCTTAATGAGAACACAGGTAAGAACGGACAACCTGTTTCTAACAAATATATGAAATTTGAACTATATAATATATTAATATCTTGTTATTCAAATCTATTTAGTTTCTAAGTTGGAATAGTGAGAGTTCCAATAGAAAGTTCAGCTAATAAGGACTATTGTGAATTATCTGAATCTATTCATATCTTAAATTTTGGATATCCAGTAGTAAGAGTTTGAAAATTGAGGTATAACATTTCCCCAAATAGGCCTATATCACCAATTTTATCTAAATCTATTCTGTTTCTAAGTTTGGACAGTAAGCATTTTAATAAGAAATATTACCTATATGTTTGAGTCTACATAGTTAGACCATTCCACTACTGGGATTTTCATGGACATTGAAAGATTTCTTTCTTTCTTTCTTTATTCATTTATTTATTTATTATCACGAATCCATCTTGAAAGAGCATTTTGTGATAAGGTCATTAAAGAGGGATGAAGTACAAAGCATCTTTTCATTTGGGGGCAGGGGTCAGGGGTGAGTTTTCTTCATGATTTAAATCATGAAGGCATGCAATGAAGGGAGTGTTGGGCTTTTGTTGGGAGTAAATATATGACTGTTCAAGTGGAAGTGGTTGTCATGTATGAGAGAGAGAGAAAGAGAGAGAGAAAGAGAGAGAGAGAGAGAGAGAGAGAGAGAGAGAGAGAGAGATCCAAAAGATATGGATGACTCTGGCCTTATGCAAGCGTCATAAATTATTTCTCTTACTTTATAACTCATCCATAGCTTCTAACCTCAGCAAAGCCTATTAAAATTTATCATCTGATTTCACTTGTACATAGGAAATTAAAAAGAAGCCTGTTTTTGTGTTCTGGTTGAGACCAACATGGGTGATCTCCTATTTCCAGACTAGAGACAGGAATTTCTATAGCAATCACTAGGTATAGTAAGCAATGTCTGAAGAGCATGACATTGTGAGAGGTACCAGCAGCAGAGTCAAAATTCTGACAGCAAGATAAGATGCACTAAATGGAAAACAGTAATGCTACTATGAATGCTAATGATAATAAATGATTGAATACAATTAGTAATGTCTTTGCACTTGACATTGTTTTAAGCAGTTTCATGAATGATCTCACTTAACTTTATGGCAATCTCATGCGTTTATGAGTATTACCCCCATTTTGCAAATAAAAGAACTGCAATGCAGATTAAGTGAAGTCCAAGATCACACAGTTAGGAAAGATGGGTAATCTTCCTGCAGAACCCCTATTCCTAATTTCCATATTATTCTACAAAATGATGCCACACAATTGGGCAATAGTTACCCAGGAGCTAACATCTGCCATTTTTTTCTTGCAATCTTATTTCCAAATGAGTAAAGTTTGAGATATTGTATGCTGTCTTTCTTACCATAAGTTTATTAGTGTTACTACTTAATTTCTACAATAAAGTATTATGATCTCTCAGGAAATTCTTTAGGATAGTCAAACTTATCCTCTATTATGGTGTAGAAAATTAAGGAGAAAGTTAATTTTACAACACTCATCTTTGATATAGCTACCAAATTATGTTGATGCTTACTTTGACAATTACATTATATTGTTTTAGGTCTTAAGGCAAAGAAAAAAGAATTATTTATCCCACTCTGGAGACAATACACCTAAGTGAACTATGAACTTATTCTATGTGTATTCAGTCACATCCCTGGAAGCCCAGCCTTAGCAGGGACAAGATGATGGTCTGGATAATTGTTAACATAGCATCGTGGCATGTTAGTGTTGAAAGAGTCCTTGGGACCAGCCCTGTTATTGGGGATGGAGAGGGGAAAATTGAGGCTCAGGACCAAGGACAGCGATAGACTCACCAGTAGCCTAACAGTGGTTCTACTTTGGATAGGAGGGTGGAGAACAGGAGTCAATTGCAATTCAAAGGCCAATATCTTTGTGCTGTAATCACAGTTGCTGGTCATTTGGGACGTATGTACTGAGAGAAAAAATTGGAGGTTAGAATATGAAGGTTGCTCTTGGCTTAGGAAAGGAATCTTAGTTTTGACTGAGCTCTACTTTCTTCTCACTTGCTTTTGAGGTAAAATTGGAAAATATTTGCATTCCTCTATCTTCACCTTACTCTTTTCCCTTCATCTTAGTGTCCTTAACAAATATTTTCTTGTTTGTTTTGATGTTTGAGAAAGAAAAAAAAGTCTTATTTGAATTTCCTTTCAATGTGCCTGATTGAAAATTGCAATCATGTATCAAGTGATTCACTGGTAGCATTTATATGTAATTATCTGGGTGAGAAGCCCTTCATAAAAGCAATTGTGTTGGGTGATTCCCAATTATCCACATGCAGCTAAAAGGATATGTGTCCTTTAAAATCTCCAGGTGCCATTTCAGAAAAAAGCACAAATCAAAACAGAAATATACTGTTCTCAGCCAAAAGCTCTTTTAGAACAAAGTTTTAGATAACAACGATCTAGATAACAATGGCTAAAACAGGGAATTTCAATCTTGGCACTATTCACATTTGGGCCGGATAATTCTTTGTTGTGAGAGTTGTCCTATGTATCCTAGACTGTTCGAGCTCTCTAAAATGCAATTAGTCTTACCCATGCATGCACTTCTTCAATGACAATAAAAAGCATGGCCTCTCAAGTTTCTAAAAGCATAGATTGAAAAAATCCAGTATTCATGTGAATAGCGGTTTTCAAAATATTTAAAAATTGCATCTCATTTTCCCTTCATAACAGTCTTGTAAGTCATGTTAGAGGTTTGTAAATATTATTTCCATCTTACAGGCAAAGAAACAAAGTCACAGTTAAGGTCCCATAGCTAGTTTATGCAACGATAGATTTAGAGGTTGAGTCTCTTGCAATTGCTTGCAAAGCTCCTGTCAGAGAGGCCATCATGGTGACAGCGGAGTGTGTGGCTGGGGACTGCTTGTGTTCAAACTTGGTCTTACTAATTACCAGCCTTGCGAAATTGGGCCAGTAGTTTAATCTCACTATATTTTAGTTTTCTTACCTGTAAAATAAGGATGTTTACATTACAAAGTTCAAAGATACTTTATAAGGTATTGTGAGGAATAGATGATCAGTGCTTGTATGTAGTAAGTGCATAGTAAATATTAGGTATTATTATCAACTACAATAGTAACAAGAATTATACCATTATTCCTATTATTATTGAGAATAAGAAATGTAAATAAAGACTGCCTAGATTGGGAGCCGAGCTCCATTTATGAGCCATGTGACCCTGCAACACTGATCTATCTGTCCTCTCTCTGCCTCAGCTTTCTTATCCATAGAAGATGATAATGATGGGAACTGTCTTACCTTATAGAATTTTTGTGAGGATTAAATGCCACATAGTAAAGGATCATTGAATAGTGATGATGCTGATAATTATTCATTAATACAGTGGCATTTTTTTAATATTCAGGTAAATTTGAGTAATTCTTGTCTGATACTACCTTTATCAGTCAGGATTTTTGCTTGTAAATCAGAGAAAGTAATTGTTGTCATCTTAGACAAAAAGGAACATTTTGGACAAATATTGTTAGACAATCAGAGCAAGGCTGGAGGTCTGGGTCTGGAAAGTGGTGAGATGCCAAGAGAAAGTAGAAATCTGGTATCACTCTCAGGAGCAGAGTGAATGTGATCACCATGATCAATAGCCTCTCTCCAGTCCCCACAGCCTGAGCTACTCCATGGAGAGAGTAAAGGGCCCTGGAGAGGGGTCTGCTTGGCTGCCCCTGGCTGCAGGGGGCTGGGGACAGCAGCCTGCCTCTTCGTGGTTTGTGGTGGGTGGGCACAGCATCACTCCAGAACTGCACAGCGCCTGGGAGAAAGGTAACTTCTAAACGGGCTGTGTGGTGTTATGAGGAGGCTTGGGTGGTGGGCAGCCAAGGGCTATGAATGTCTCTTATACTTTCCTGCTAGCATATTTACAGAAAGAGGGAGAGAGGGAGAGAGAGAGAGAGAGAGAGAGGGAGAAAGAGAGAGAGAGAGAGAGAGAGAGAGAGAGAGAGAGAGAGAGATTGAGAATGAGAGGTTTTCCCTCTAACAAGTTGTTATGATGGTACTGACTAGAAGTAAAATTTTAATTTTTAATGACAAATTACATTATTGAAATAAATCAGTTTTAAAATTCTCTCAGAAGGTAGTAATCTCAGTAAAGATACAGACATGTTAAAAATAAAACAAAACAAAAATTAGCTGTCATATTATATAAAGTTTTAATAAAGATACATGCAAAGTACTTTTGATTGACAGAGAAAAGGCATAATTATGGCAGTGATGTGAGCTCAGACC